CCCGGCCTCCGGGGGGGCCTCCATCGTGTCCGGCATCGCCGGGGGTGCGTCCCGGCCTTCCCGCTGCTCCTGCGCCTGGGGGGGCTTGTGGGCTGGGCATGGAGCCCGGGAGGTGCCTGCAGCATCTCCCTGGTGTCCCGGGAGGAGCTGGGGAACACCACGGGAGCTGGGAATGGTGCTCCTGCATCCCAGGGCTCTGCCTGCCTGGCATTCCCACTGAGCCAGAGCCCCTCAGGGGGCTCTGATGGCAGCTGGGGAGTGTGGGGACCCTGCAGCTCCGTGCTTGGGTGGGCAGGACGGTGGGGACAGCACAGGGCAGCCAGCCTGGGGTGTCCCTGCAGCTGGGTGGGCTGGGGGTTCTTCGTGGTGGGTCACCCAGCTCTGGTGGGTGTTGGTACCACCCGGCCCAGCCCCTGGGCCTCGTGCTCCCAGCAGGATGCTCCAGGGGAGCTGTGGGCTGGGCCTGCCCACGGGCCTGTCCTGTCCCACCGGGCTGGCTCCAGGAGCCCCCATCTCCTGGTGCCCCCTGGGCTCTCCCAGCAGCACGGGCTGGGTGCTGAGGGACAGGGCTGGCTGAGGTGGCTCCTTTCTTGTCCCTGTTTGGAGGACATGTCCTACAAGAAGCACCTGGAGGCAGGTCTGGAGGCAAAGCAGGGCTGGGGGTGGGAATGTGGCTTTGCCAGGAGCTCTGGCTGTGGGACAGCGTGTGGCTTCCCTGGGGGAAAGCTCCGGGTCCTTCAGGGCTGTGACTGGTGGACCCGGCCCTGTGGTCTTGGTGTGACAGCGATGGGTGGGTCCATGTCCCTGATCCCGTTGGTGACACCCGGAGGCAGCTCCTGGAAGTGGCAGCTGCTGGAAGCAGCAGCTCCTGACCCGGTCACTGTGGCCACCAGCCCTGGCTCTCGGGGACAGTCACAGCGTGTTTTGGCTCCCCAGCAGCATCAGCTCCAGCCTGGTCACCCGCGGTGTGTGGGAGGGAGGACCCGGGGGTGCTGCCTAGGGGGCCACAGTTCCTTGGGTTGCCCACTGGCTGTGTGGGGGGTGGTCCCCCCCCCCCCGG